AAAGCAATGCACTTGTTAACTTCAAAGTTGTTTTTGAGTTTTACTGCAATACTCGTAGATATTATTTGTAAATAATAGTTCTGGAGTCAAATTGCAAATCCATTTCCCAGGCATGCGCATATGGATGCTTGTAGTACACACAGATGCGATCAACTAATTAGCAACGAAATTCAAAATGATATTGTTTGCAAGTTATGTTTATTTATTTATTTTTAATAATTTCCTTTAAAATATAATTCATTCTATAGCAGAAACAACAATAATAAAAGTTTAAAAGCTTGCACAAATTGCAAAAAAATTAATCAAACTGTTCTGATCTGTTAATTTGCCACTCTCAATTCTCAATTCGAGTGGTGAACTTCTGGGCGTTTTTGATAGCATTTGACAACTCACACCACGATTGAGAGAATACAAAGGTTGCGCCGATCTCGGACCGCTATTCCTCTCTTAACGAATTTGACAGAATCGTGGTTTGCATGACGTCACACTTGTGCAACTTGTTTAAGTTTTCCTTGCAACATTTTTTCTTCTTCTTCCATTCTTGCTCACGTTTTGGCATTTCTCTCTCGCAATTGCACCAGTGTGACGTCACACAAAAGTTATTCTCGAAAATCCTCTCTGATCGGCGTAATCTTGTATTCTATCATTCTTGAACTCACACGGCTATTCGTAATTGCTGCTTCTCTGTATTTAACGTTCTCTGGTAATTCTACTTTATTTGATTTACGGTCTTTGTCGCTTATAAATTTACGTTCTGTGTTAATTCGAAGGATTGTGTGCCATCTGGCAGCACGAAAGTGCTGTCAACTTTTGTAGAGTATTTCAATTAGTTGACTGGGCAGCACTGATTTTAAGACTATTCAATCTGCAATTGAAGTGGTTTCCCGGTTTTAATTTAGCTTTTTTAATTAGTTTACAATTAAAGCAGAAATTTTGAGTGTATTTAAACTATCAGCCTGATAATAATAAATCCGTGTTTTGTTGCAATATTTCATTTGCTTGCTTTCCCTAATGTAAAAGCCCCCGTTGGTTGCTGGTAATTTTCGTCTGAACGATTCCTCCTATAAACAGCTGCGTCGGATTAGGTAGCTGTAATTTGTCTCATAGGAATTTTAGTTTTTTTCGTAAAAATTTTGCGAAAGTTCCATCAAACTTTGTACGAGTCTGCATCAAATTGTAGGCTCATTACAATAGCTACCTGTACGCGTAAAATGGCAGAAGGTGGGAGTGGTAGCGATAGTAGTGCCGCAAGCATTGCTGGTCCTGTAAATGGTGGTATGTTGTTACCTAGATACATATGTGTAAGAAATATAAACACATGTAATACATGTTCGTATTTTTCTAGTTGAAGATT